TATATCATTTCCACTTTGAAGGCAGTTGGCACGATGCTTTGGTGCTCGGCCCAAAATGCTAGTAGGGCGCTATATAGTGGGGAAATGGCGAAAGAACGGAGTGAAACGGTCAAAATCCTGCGAAAGAAAGAGCCTCCGTTCTCACTGTGTTAGTAATCAATTTGGACGAGTTTCCCGTAGGCATCTTGCCAATAACCGCTACCGAAGGTACGGCTGCATATGTGTACTCATATATCCATGCAGCATCACGGCCGCTTCATATCAATGCCTTCGCTTCATAAATCCGTGTGCGTTGTGCGAATGATAAGTCTCGGTGGGCTCGCCCATTTGTGGTGGCACGGTCAGAGAGTGGGTTTGTCCCAGCGGTTTGGGTCGAATTCTCTTCTGGAACAAGTTCTCCGTCATAGGTGTGCAGCTCGGGATTTTCCGGAGCTCCCATTTTACCACCCACAGGAATATTGGGCCCAAGTGCATCCTCGCCCCAGACGAATCGATACCTAAAGACACACTCTGATTATTGAACAATTACATTTAAGGTAACATGAGCGTACAAGCATGAAAGAAATCGAAACTATCTGTCTAATTACCAATACTCGGGAGTGGAAGCTAGTTTTAGTACAATCAGTCGCGTCGATATTCAGAAGAACTATGAGTCGGAATAAAAAGAACGTCCCATCCAAAAACCAAAACTGTAGCTATGCGATTATTTTACCAGGCTCGCCAAAATTTAAGATCGAAAGAAAGTTCTGCGAGTGTTTTTGGATAGCTTACAGCTTCTGATTCTTTATGCTAAAATATGACGTAACATGCTATGCTTGTAGAACATTCTCGGAGCTTTCCCATGAAGGCATAAAAAGCTCCTGCTCTTCCCTGGGTTTAATTACATGACAGTTTCACAGGAACAGCTTTGAGCGATCTTCTTCGAGTGGTACCGCGGCACTGGAGCGACGGCAGCTGACCGCAACATCAACAGTGCATTGTGGGAGGACACCATTACCATCAGGACTGTCCACCACTGGTTCGCTCGCTTTGCGAAAGGAGACACGATCCTCGAAGACAAACCTCGGTTGGGACGGCCCCACGAAGTGGAAGACTCCACCATTCTCGAAGCTGTCAAGGGGATCCGGAGGCTACCACCCGCAGTCTTGCGACAAGACTCGGATGTACCTAACTGACAGTCGTCAACCGCCTGTAAGCCCTTGGCTATCGAAAAATATTGGCTCGATGGATCACTCATACCATGAAGGATGGAAACTTGTGCACCCGGGTACCCTTGGTCGGTCTGCTCTTCCACACCCTCGTCAAAAGGAGTTTTTAGGAGACTGCCCAGTGAAGATGAGGGATGGGTCCCCTCTGATTTCAATCCACACACTACTGTGTGTCTCTCTGAAGGAGGAGACCCATATTAGCAGTCCAAATCGGCTATGCATTCCGAGAAGTTTCTCCTGTGCTGCTTCCGAGATGCGGGAATGCTGCACGAGCTGTCCTATATGAACACACGGACACCGCTACCATTTGTCTCGCTCAGCTCCAGAAACCCGTGGAAGCTGTTGGAGGAAAATGACCGAGACTAGCTTTGGGTCACCTCGTTCAAGATGACGCGAGTCCTGACGCTGCTATGGAGACCTGCCAAATATTGGGTCGGCCCATAAGTAATGGCGTTTTTCCCACTAGAAATATCGCGCTGAAGAAGAAAAGTTTTGCCATTGAGTTCTATACCGTTTTGCAGAGAATTCCTTGCCCTACACGATAGTCTTCTTAGTTTTCTTCAAGTTTCTCTTTCCACTAATATTTAAGTGCTCAAACTGGAGTGTCAGGTCGACGAAATTGAGCATTTTCGACAGCCTCTCTTTTATACCTCTAATTAAAAAGCTAAAACCGCATGGGCCCAGCTGCTAAGTATATGGCTGGAAGGCTATGTCTCTTAGGAATGCTAATAATACTTTGAGTGATTCGAAGATTTCAGTTTCGACCTCACAGACAAGCATCGAACCTAATGTCCTATTCTGTCCAACTGAGAGCTTACCTCATTAACAGAGAATCATGCCAAAGTGAGGGATCGTTAGAGGTCAAGGAATGCTTCCTTATCATTATCAACCACCACCCTCAGTTGATGTTAGACGTTCGAAAATAAGTGGGTAGGTTCTGCAGGCAGTCCCTCCCCAAGAGGGCCCCCACGCGATGCTTTTACAAGGTCCGAATTCCCACCTCTTGATCGCTTGAACCAACTTCAAGCTGTCATAAGACGCATCTTTCTTTGGTCATATCTATAGATTGAGATCCGAGATAAAATTCGAAATGTAGTTGTCGAAAACTCACTTTTGGGTCGACCCGAATTTCCCTTTCAATGAAATAAAAATCGACACAAGTCGAGAAATAGTAAGAAGGCAATTACACTATCTTATAGTGCGGAAAATTATCTATCAAACAGTGTAGAACATATTGGGAACAATTGTCATTTTCCATATAAAAATTTGTGTGACAAAAAAACGCCATTACTTATGGGCCAACCTATGATTGAGGAGCAAGGTTGGGAGACCATATCCCGCTCACCGTACTGTCCTGACGTATGCCGCTACGACTACTACTTGCTCCGCCTTCTTAAGCTTTCTTAGCTAAGAAAACTGTCAGCAAGTTTGATGACATCAGTCGAGAGGCCGCCGACTTACTCGACTCGCAGCCTCCCCAGTTCTGGGAGAAGGGGAATGCTTACCTGCCCATTAGGTGGAGCACTGTAGTGGCTAACAATGACGAGTATATTGTTGATTAATTTCCATTGTATGTTGAGTTAGAAAACAAAAAATGTCTCAACAGTGACAAGAGCCTATTCTTTGAGAGCGATATTACGCCACCACTGAATTGCACCACAAATGAGAAAGATACTTTGTGGAAGGGAAGTTAGGTAGAAATCGGAGCGATTACCACAATCTATATAAAAGATCGAAAGCAACCCCAACCAAGGCGCATTTTTGTGCAATAGTCGTGCGACTTAGTCCCCGCTCTGGACAAGCATGCTAAATGCGGTAGTCCCTCTTTCGCACAAGAATGCCCTCAAGGTTACAGGACTTCTGTTAACCGCATGACCTCTCGCTGCGGAGGTCTAGAGGTATTTTTTATCGCATCTTGCGACCGAGCATTTGAGAGGAGGAAAGCACTGCCTTTGCAAGGTAGGAAATACTGGGATTTCCTCATCTTTAGTTCGCTAGTTCTTCAGGTTCTTCAGAGGTTACGCTCCGAAGAGAGAATGCTGAGTTGTGGGCAAAAGTTTTACTCCAGGCAGGACCCGAACCCACACCTCGCGCTTTTCGGGCGCGCGTGGGTATGAAAAGTTTCGGAGCGCGAACTGCGGCGTTAAACAAAAGTTATCGTTGAAGAAAACAACTTCAAAAACTTATAAAGCCCTCGGCCTCGCCGTTTACTGCCGATATCTGAAGATTACAGCTGACCGTGTTAAACGTGTGAGTGCTCTTAGGTGACCGCATAAAAGCCGTAAGCGTAACACCCACCCAAAACTAGATGATGAGCATCTTAATGGGTGAACTGATTCTCTATACGAAAAGGTCTCTGCTCGCCATTCGATCTTTGCTTCACCACTGTGATTCTATTGAAACAGCAAAATACACTAATCGCGGAAGTGGCATACGAGAAAACTGCAGCAAAGAAGAAGTCTGATAGGAGCAATGATGAATAATCGATGTAAATGATTAATTGAGAAGCAATGAGCTCACCTCAATGGTCCAAGGCCAGCGCGTCCACCGATTTGCGCTCGAACCCGTAGTTGTTGCGCTGCCGTCAACGCAAGCCTCCGGGTCAGCATACCTACTAATACTGCTTTCTAAAAAAACTCAAGCAAAAAAAATGATCTTATCATCATTTAAATAATGTGCAGTGAGCAATAACACCATTCGACGAGGCATAATAAAACATTGAACAGCGAATCCTTTGTTTTCTTTCATAATCATCTGCATTTATGGAACAAGAATGTGAACAACAACAGTAACAACAGTAACAAATACACGCCCTATCCTCATGGTTCATAAGAAGAATCGCCGCCGAGACGTTTCCATTTCATGCCGCTGGAAAAAAATTACGATGAGTTTCGAGTCCGGAACTCATTTCATAAGGCTACGTTCAGACTTCGCGAAGACGCTTGTCATCGCGAGGTCTAAAAGCCTGAAGTTAATCCTCACCTTCAATACCCACTCATACTCGCCCCATTTAGTATCGAACGTCCCCTTCTGTAACCATTTCAGCCTCAGGGTGAATCGAGGGCCAAGTTCATGTAGAGCAGCTTTCTGTCCTTCCTTTTTAAATTCGTATCTAAACATTGTGACAGTTCATTGAGGAGTTTAGCCAAGGTAAACATTAACACCAATGAAGTGGCCTTGCTAGACACAACAAGCAGTGGTGCTGCGATGTGAAAAGGTTTGGCATCTCTATAAGGCCCTGCTAGTGAAATTACAGCAAATGTTCCGTTAACAGAATTTACTGAGAACCCATTCAATGGTTCGCTTCCAGGTAAATCAGAGCTGACTTACAGCTGCGGATGCTAGGATGTATCATGGCTGGGTTTGGAACGCTGCCAGCTCAAATTCCACTTGTTGTTGCTTGTGCCACTTCGACAATTCTTGCAGAATAAGCTAGCGCCGCGCTAAACACAGCCTTCTGACACGCCCCAGTATCCGCAGCGAATAAGACAATGGTATCTTTTGGCTCACCAACTGAACGAGTTCCTCCTGGGAATTTCAGAATGAACGGTAAGCACAACCCAGTATATGGGCTAAACTTCCCTGCAAATCAAAGTCGCAGCGAAAGAGTGCTCACCGGTGATGTCGGAAGAAAATGTAATCTCTTTGGTTATGAAAAGTGACCACGCGTCGTCCTGTGAACTTTGGATCGTGTGGAAAAAGACAGGCAAACATTCGAGCAATGCTGCAATAAACGCATCGCTTGGAAAAACGAACAAAAATGATAGTGTCTATAAGTTCAACAGACAATAAGAACTAGGAGGGGAAACCCTCTTTCTTCTTACTCACCCATGACCTAGACGTGTATTGAAGTTGTTCAGAACAATTTCGGGATTATGTGCACTGGATTCACCACAACGCTGAAAGAAACTTAATAAGCATAAAGAGGTCCTGTCGGTACCCGCTCTTAAAGGTACCCCGTCTGAATAAAGTGGTTCGTCTGAGTTGAGGCGAAACGAACCACCTCCTCACTTAATACCTACTAACTTTTAATAACTCCTCATTTTGTACTTAATTTGAAAATGATGAGTTGTGCGGGTCCGATATCGATGAGGGATGCGAAGTAGCACGAAGGTGAAACCAGAAAAACCTGCTCGAAAAGACCCATGCAGAGTCCCACACTAAACCTCGCTTGTACGCGCATAAGGCAAGGAAATGGTGTGGTCGGACGAGTTCTCACTTGTTGGTGCCAACCCTTTCTCGTTGTCGTCCGACCTCACCATTTGAAATGAAGGGAGTTAGTATCGGAATTCTTAAAAAGCTGTAAAAATTCAGGCTGGGCGTAGCGATAACCAGCGGGTAGAGTTATGGCGAGCGGGTTGCGTCTTCTGCGCACATATTTGAGCTGCGAAAGTGTGAATCCTCCATGCTCGCGGGCAAGACAAAAAAGTATCTGCGTACGAAAAAATAGCGGGACAGCCCATTAAAGGGAAGGGATGGTCACAGAAACAAAAATGCTCACCGGAATATCCTTTGAAAACCTCAAACTATTGATTTTGAAATACGCGGTCGGTCCCTCGGGAAGATGACAAAAAATAATGCCGTCTGAAAAACCATAATTCGAAATATATCCGAATACTACACAAATATTGAAAAACTCACTTGGTTTCTTTTGGTCTTCATGGACAACTAGTAAATCGGTATAAGATTTTGATATAGCTTGCTTTACAACTTTCTTTAATGGAACACCTTTGCGAGAGAAAATTTCCGAATTCGGAATGCACTTATGAAGCTCAAAACAGAACTTCCACGTCGTCTGAAATTATGTCCGGTAGGAAACAAAGAACTGTGAAAATGATGCAATCACGAGAAATCAACTCCGTTACCTTTTTGGCGAACGGAGACATCGTTATTAGTACTTTGGGAGTAGTTTCGCGGTTGAAATACGGAGCGAATTCATCATGGGCTTCATCGTGCTCAACCTACAGTAGCCTGCCTATACTTTACTGTCAGAACTTCAAGATTCAAAACAAGATAAACCCGCTATTGCTGAATATTATGACTTCATAATAAATCTAAAAATCAAAAACCTCGTCATCATTTTCCTGGACCATTGTTTCATCATATTCCCTGGTGCTCTCAATGGTTTTCGGTACTTCCTTAGCTGGGGCTGCATCACCCAGCACTTCGCGCAACTTCTCTCTTTCAGCTTGACGAGCTCGTTTGTTCTGCATAATAGACGTTATTAGGTGAAAGAGAAAAACTAAAATTGCTAGAAAAAGACAGAACAGAAAATAATCGGACCTTTTTAAGTGCAAGTCGCAAAGCACTTCCGCGCTCAGTTTTGGGTAAATTCTTGAAATCATCCTTTGTTACCGTTGCCTTTCTTTTGACCTGAAAATACTCGATGCTTAAGAGACTTTTCAAGAACGTTCACAAGAGTACAATCTCGAGCTTTCCTAACCTCTTCATATTGCTTTAGCAAGGTATCAGGGTCCAGTTCACTCAACTCCTCCTTCTTAACCGCCTTCTTTTTCTTCGAGCTCATGCTAGAAATACTGAGCAGGCACTTTGGATAGAAAAATCGTCAAGGAACAATTTATGAGCTACAAAATAGGAATATTTGATAAAAGAAGGGTCAAACCCTACGAAACGAGGTCAACGATTGAAATTTGAGAACAGTTTATTCACGAAAACACAAGCATAGGGATGCAGTAGAATCACATATCTCAGTTCCTTTGGGTAAACTTCCAATGATAATGTGTAAACAAATACTCCGTAGTATTCGCAGTCGTAACGTCCATAACTATCTCACCTGGAACGCTTCTTTCTGAGCAACCTCTTTCTGCCTAAGGCTCAAAACTAACACTAACCAACGCTTTCTTCATCAAGTAGTTATAGGCACCATCTCCTAACCGTCAGTCCATTACCGAGTCTTCACGATTTCTGCCAAAAGTCGAGTCACAGGTCGTCATCTGAAGTGAATCAAAAAGTGCGAGACATGAGAAAAGCTGACATAGTGCAGTTCAGACGGCCGTAGGCTTGAACAGAGTGGAGCGAGATGGAGTAAAGAAGGAATTATTAATGAAATAGGTTTTTCCAAAAGGTGAGCCATTATTTCCATGGAAGTGCTAACATTTCGTGAAAGTTTCGGGAAGATATTGAAACCAGGAATTTGAGCTACACTCGGAAATCTGCTCCGAACTAGTGGGAAGAAATCGCTCAATGTTAAGGGATCCAACCATAAGATAGGCTAATTCGTCCTGATCCGTTTGCACTTTTTCATTGGTAACGAGCTGGACAGAAAGCAAAAAAAAACAGAGGTTTGTCCAAGGAGGGACCTATTCGTAACATCAAAGTGATTAGTATGGTATAAAACATGTCATGCTGAACTGGTTAGTGCTCAAAGTTTCCAAGGAAGAATGAAAATGGAATGAAAGTATCTTCCGAAAGCAATTTTACCTTCACAATGTTCTTTCCTTAAAAGGTTTAATAAATTGTTGCACAAGCTGTCGCTAGCGTCCCACACATCGCAATCCAAATTTTGAAATCTTTGCACATCAGTACTAGAGATGAAACGTGGAAAATCCGTCGGGTTCTGCCAGTCCACATGAACTACGATCGTCTCTTGAGTGGACTGCTGAAATCTCGCAATCAGTGTAAGGAGCGTTCATACTTCGCGAAACAGTGGCGATCGCCGCGATCGTCGGCTACGCGTCAGAGCGCGCCCCAACGCTATTACTTGGACCGCTCCGAGTGCTATTAGGGGAAATGGCTTAATTTCCTGCTTTTTTTTCTTTTAATTGCAATTGATTCAGGTACCAGAGTTTGTTTTGACTCGAGGAAAGGTGGATGAAACCTTAATGGCTTTTCTTTTCTATTTTCTTTTGATTCAGGATAGAAATGAGCAAAAAGCAAGGGGCTTCATTTAGGGTAAGTTTCTTATTGTTTCTTTTTTCATTCTTCGAGCTTATACATGAACTTATGAAGTTTCCTCCTCCTCGATGTTGCATAAAAGAATTAGTGTTTCGATTCCTAGGTGAGTTCCTTTCTGTTTCTTCTTTGAACTCAAGTTGTAAACCATCAATGTTTTGGAAGTTGAACAGTTTGGCCTGTAGACAGCTTCGAGACACCTATACAAATTGAAACAATGAAAACAAAAGAAACAAAAAAGCTCATCTAGTAAATAAAGTTGCCCTTATCCTGACCTAAAAAAGGTGAAACCATCTCCTCCCTTATATTCCAGATTTTCTAAGGTAGAGAAAGTCCTCAGCTTCCAGAAAGTAGCTATTTAAGAGGAAAAAGGAATTACAAGTTGAATATCCTTATTTATCGAGCTAGCTGACCACGTAATAGCGTTGGAGCGCTCTCTGACGCGTACCGACGACCGCGGCGATTGCCACATCTGTCGCGAAGGATTAAGGCTGCCTAACACTTCCAAAAGGAAATCAGCTTTTTT